ACTAATTCTTGTTTTGCGCTTTAAGGTTAGACAAAAGTTGCACATGAATCTTATATGACATTTGTGATCGAGAAAAAAAATCTTGTCCATTTTGAATTTCATGTTTTTCAATTGGTTGATGCTTTAAACGTTGTGCCCCCTTTTCCTACATGAAACTGAGTAGAATGCGAAAATAACTATATCGGGACTCATCCGGTCCGGATTCTCACGCAAACAACTCATCGACAAATTTAAAATTATCATGGGCGTGTGTACAGATTATCGAAATGTTGTGGCTCTGAAAATTCTATTAGTTGCATCAAGGAACGCGTAATTTCATTATTTGTATCTCGTTGGTAGATATTCTTTTCCATTTTACCTTAACATGGCAATTCGTGACCGACACCGCCATTCAACCTCAGGATAGCAATTCGTGATCAATTAAAAAAACAGGGTGACAAACTTCGCGGATATCACTTAACCCTTTTATGCGCTAGATGTGTGCGTTCACATTAGAATTGTCCCTCCCTATACTTTAAATACAAAGAATACGGCGAGTCACGTGAATATTGATGATACCTGTAATGTATGACACAGGGTGAAAGATTTCTTATATAAAGATCACAAATGTCATATAAGATTCATGTGCAACTTTTGTCTAACCTTAAAGCGCAAAACAAGAATTAGTAGATTGGTAAGATAAAGCTGACAAACGTTGCCTAGCAAATCAGAGATACGTGCAGAGTCGCACAATGTATTAGACGCCAGGTCTACCCGCGAATGTATTCGGTGTGAGAAGAGAAGATGGTCTGCGTTAGTGTAGTTTTTTTTTTCTTCTAATTGTTATTTATTTATTTATTTATTATTATTAATTTTATTGTTATCATTTCTCCTGGACCCGCGTGCCATCGCAATCATTGGTGTTATGGTATTTATCATTCCCGCTCCAAATGCGATTTTGTGTATCACATAATAATCCTTACCTTTTCCTTCCTTCCTTCACTCACCCTTTTTAAGAAACTGTTGAAGTCATTGTATATGCATCATTAACCAATCATGTTTGGATGAACATATTGGATTAAGCGCAAAATATGGTCAAAAGGGAATGAAGGTGCGCGACACACATTTATAAAGTTAAGATAATGGACAGTTGGGTTCGCAGCATATCAGACTGCTCTTTTCCAATAAAGTTTTATAGCCTTATACATGCCATTTTAGTGCACTATAGGATTATGACCCGTGTGCGTATGACAACGATGATCGTGTCATCTTACGTAAATGCAAGATGCGGATGATGTTTAAAAAAGGAAAACAAAGCGTTGCCTATTTATGATCGGTATTTGGAGTATCATCACCGATGTTTATTATTGACCGAAATCAGTAACTATCACAAAGCATAGGACCATGATTATAAAGAGAATTCTCAATGGCCATGCGTAGAATACGCACTTTTGGAGGCAACAAATTCATATCACTCGTCGACGAAATTCCGAGCAGCTGCATGGTGGAGAAAACAAATCAATCTTTTTTTTTTTTTTGAGAATTTATTATTATTATGAATTCTTTTCTACTGCGTTCGATTGTCTTTCATGAAACACGATCGGCATGAAACATTCCACTGCCATCACACGAGTTTTTGCAAGACGTCTCACCCAGCTTCTCTTCGACTGCGTCTTACCATTATGCGTTTTTTTTGCCGGGTACATCATCCGGTATGCACCCATGTGCATACAGATTTTCCTTTATCATCCAATGGGAAGTAAATCCACGTCTTCATTGTCTTTGTGCAAACCAAAAACTTGTTCTGTCAGTTATTAGCGAACAAAACTCATCCACGTGATATGCCACTTGTGAAAAGAACGTGTGCGGTGGTTAGCAGTCAAAAGTCTTACCCAGTTCTCGTGGCTCCGTGTGATTCCGTTGTGTTCTGACGCTTGGGAGCGGGTGCATCGTATCGGACCTTTTTTTCTTATTATCGTCTCAACGCAGCGGATCACGAAAAATACGATGACGTGTTCGAGAAGAAAGCTATAAAATGTTTCACTGATATCTGATGATTCATGCTTTTCGAATACTACAAAATTCCATACCTCCATCCTATTCCAAGTCGAGATAGAAGGTCATATTTCTCTTTTCCCTTTTACTTCCTCTTATTATTATTATCATCTTCCTTGTTTTCCTTTCCGCAAAGAACGAAATGAACATTAACAAACTGTCACTTCTTCACCCTCTATTTAACGACCTAAGGACCGCCGACATAATTATTCGCGTTGACAACACTCATTTTCACGCTCATACTTGCGTATTGTATGTCACGACAGGATTTTGGAATCGTTATCTCAAACTTCGGCGATCGGCTTTATTGAACGGCAACGAAAAACCGATTGACAATGGCGAGACACCTAGGGAAAGAATGTTAAAGCATGATTGCAGCTGTTCGAAAACGAAATCAATCGCAGGACTGTGCCATTACAAGGGAGACACAGAAACTGAATTAAAGTACACCTTTGAAGACTTTGGCGTTTTCCTAAAGTACCTGTAAGCATTTTGGTCAAATCTTGGGGGTGAGGGTGACATTGTTCATCCTCGTTTGGAATTTTAATATCAAGTTCGCGGTATTACTTCCAGGTATGGATACCCAATGGAAGGTATGAACGAGAATAAGTTATTTGTGCTCGCTTATCTCGCTTCCAAGAAAAAGTTCGACGTTCCCGAATTGGTAAGCCTTTGCGATCAACTTTTGTACGAAACGGTGAGTTTCGGTGCGAACCATTGTGTGCACCCTTACAAAACAAAGTGATCTAACACGGTACAATTTCAACCATCAAAAGTGGGAAAACCGGCGTTGGAGAATCACCTTGAGGGCATCCAAGTGGCTAGGGTTAAATAAATTGAGATGTCAGGTCTTGAAATATTTGTACACCAAAGGGGATTCGATGTTCGCAAAACACGTGGTCAAGGAGCTCGATGAACACGATTGGAAAATCATGTCCATTGTGTCCGATCAAGAAGATCCTTGTCGCATGGATTTTGACGAAATCTGTGAGAGGGAGTGTGAATATGTGAGCGATGGACTTGAAGATGTCCAAGGAGAGGATGGTCACGACGCCGACGGCGAAACGGTAGAAAACGGAAGGATGGTGGGGGTGGAGGAAGAGATTGATCGTGTCCGTCCACAAAGCGAAAGGGTGGAGGATGGCGAGACGGAGTGGATGGAAGAAGAGGTTCAACAAGACGGCGTGATTGATAAGATGATGGTGGATGAAGAGACGGTAGGGATAATTGAGGTTCGGCAAGATGGTGTGGTCGATGACGACGACCGAAGCGATGGGATGGATGACGTTTGGCAAGATGAAAAGATTGACGGTCACGACCTAGATAGAAAAATGGTAGAAAATGGTGAGCCGGTGGGAGTAGGAGTTGTTCAGCTGGAAACCATTGACGGCGAAATAACAGAAAGTGATTTGACGACGGCACGAGATGATGGGCAATCGCCGATCGAAAATTTCGAAGATGGCAATGACAAGCAGAGTTGATTCGCTGGGTACAAAAGGAGAAATATCGATTCAGTGAAGGCGACCGTGACCGTTTCTCTGATATGCGCCAATTCTTATATTACAGTCTATAGTATGAACAAGTAATGCAGCATGCATTTTAATAATGTAAAGGATATGCAGTACCAAATCCGACCTTTTACAGTAATTTGACCTTAATATTTTATTCATTCATCTTAATTGGCATATCTTAATTACACATACAAATCGTATGGATGTAGGTTGGAAAGAAATAAAACGAAAGGATCATAAATTTTTTGCGATTCGATTCTTTTAACTTATTAAGCACTCGAAAAATAATAGAACATATCGTATGAACCGTCAGAGGGATAATAAAAAGGGATGATTTGCGGTTGTTGAATGAGAAACGGAAGATTGGTGGGACCAAGATATTCGGTAAGAGGTTCGGGGTGCGAACTGCTTTGCGCGTGAATGGTGGCGGCCGAAAAGTCGAATGTGCAAGGATATTCAAGGTAACTTGCGGTCTCTGAAAGAGATGGCGTTTCCTGAGACTCGTGGTGGGTAAGATTTGGTTCTACATTCATGTGCACGCTCGCTTTCCTCTGGTTTATTTCAGCCAGCAACCCTTCGACCTGACGGGAAATATCTTTATACGCATTTTTCACGTGTAAGGGTTCCTGCCTCCAGGAAGCACTGATGAGTGGCGAGACGTCCGTCATCTTTGCTTTACGACCGTGAGCTCGAAATTGATCCAGATAGGCCTTCCTATAGATGAAGAAAGCGTTTGGACCTTTATTTATTGCCCTGTTTCTCCTTCCCTTAAGGAAATCCTGGGGTTTTACGGAGGGTGGGAAGGGTACCGTGATGGATTCGGATTCCTGGCTCATGATATTCACGATCGTAGCGACAGAAGAGAAGAGAACATCAACACACGAACTTAGCGTGTCCGAGACTTCCCTCTAATGAAAAAAATTGCCTGCTTTTATAATTACCAAATCCTGTGGAAATTAGGTAATGTTCAGGGTCCGATGTTACACTCGTTTCGTTAGACGTCATGCGAACAAGTTGCGTTCAATGAAAAGCATTGCCTTGTTTCTTTCATTTTTTACCCACGAGGATATGAGCTTACAAATTTGGCGGTAATTTTGGATACATGTATCATATGACACGAATTATTAACCCTGTATAATACTGTGCGATTTCTTCTACGGATTTATTCCGGAGTAGATAATCCTATTATACTTTCACGTCGATTCGTCAAGCGGTGATACAAGCGGAACGGATGGTGGCAAATACCGTCAATCCCTTACACACACTAACATTTAAGGGTTCCCTGCCAAGTATCACAATAAATTTGTAGGAAGCTTCTTAAAAGAAAACCCATCGATTTATTTATAAATAAATATACACAAAAAAAAATTACAAAAGAAAAACACGTGGAATTCACATTTTTCAACTCAATATCCTTCGTAACCCGTTCTGAGCAATTGATCATGCCAAAGCCACATGTTTTTATGATAAGTCGTCATTGAAATTAATCCGTAAAAGTTTCCCCGCGCGCCTACATATTGTCCTGCATGAGATGTTTCTTCGGAAAGGGAGTGATACAAAGTAGTCGATTCTTGGCCACGATGATCACTCGTCGAAGGTGACGGGTCGGAGTAGATGGGCAATCGGCCATCCGACGTGGATGAAATTTTTGTACCCGTGCCGCTGGATATAGACACAGGTTGTCGTCCGTACACCTCCTCAAGGAAGATGAGTGACGGTTGAGAGAGAAAGGAATCCCGCTTTCGTGTATCACTCAATATCCTATCAACCTCTCGTGCAATGTTCTTGTATGCATCCTTCACTCGCTTCGGAGCCTTCTTCCACGATTCTCCGGCCAGAGGTGACAATTCGGTCATCTTAAATTTACACTGTTGCGCATGACATTGTTCGAGATACGCTCGCCGATATATCATAAAGGCATTGGGACCCTTCGCGTGTGCCCTTTCTAGGCTTCGTCTGTTTAAAATATCCTGTGCCGTTATCACAGGAGGGAAGGGAAGTTTGACCATGCTCGAATGCAATTTTCTATTCGCCTTAACTTGTGACATGGTTGACCTTTTTTTTTTTTTTTTTTTTTTGTATGCGTGTGGTTCCAGGATAAACTTGCGAGCAACATACCTATTTATTGGGAATTCAACAAGATATTTGGAACCCATATTCCTATATTCCTGAATGAGATTGTGTCACAAAGTTCAGATGACATGCATGATGAAACAGATTTTACCAGGTCCTTGAACTCGGAATTTTCTTCCGATGCGAAAATGATGGTGCCTGCCTCTGAGAATAATAAGAAAGAAGGAAGGCACTAATTAACATTGTCTTCATTTTTGTAACGTATACGTGGAATATGACTTGAAGGTGATTAGAACTTTTCAATTGCGGGATCAGAAAGGCGTGAAGATAAAGAAAAAAAAAATAAATAGAGTGTGAGGTGTGACCGAATTGGTCATGTACTTTGAAGGAGCATGTTGCACGCGAGATTGACCGACATTGGGTGACCTACTGAACAAGAATTCATTAGGTACATGGTGGATATTGCAATTGTGCGAGGAAACACATTTGGTCAAGAAGGATTTAACAATTGAGATGTATCATCATCCCTGAAAAAAAATAAATAAAAATAAAAATAAAATAAAAAAAAATAAAAAAAATAAAAAAATTCAAATTGGCTATTCGAAAATGTATTTGCACTACTCGTGTGACCCGATTTTTATTGACACCACTTTAAAAGAGGAATAAGAGCGCATATATGCATATGTTGTAAAATGCAATGAGATACGATGTACCGTACGTTCAAATGATTTTTAGAAATAGCGTAACGTGAGCATCTTCGATGATGCGAGTTGAGTTAACCATAATAATGCATACACGGTATACTTATTAATGCATAGGTTCATAATTAACTGTATATTTCTTATACATCATTTCTTATTTGTAATCTATAAATGATTCGAATAACTCGTCGTAAGAGTCTGATGTCAACGAGGTAATAGAAGTACTTGGGATCGCGTCGGAATCGCCCGCATTATTGGAATTTTGGGGTGGGATGTATTGTTGAAAACATGACTCTAGAATTCTCCCACCCCGTTTTTTCTTTAATTCTTGCGCGATACGCCCGTAATGATCTTTTACATGTTCCTTTTCTTTCTTCCACGCCTGCCCCGCGAGGGAGGCAACAATCTTATTTTTTAGTCGTCCCCTCTGTTTCCTGAGTTGCTTCACGAATATGTTGTGATAAATGATGTACGCATTCGGAGGTCTCTTCCACTTCATAAACTCATCATCGTCGACGATAGGGGGGAAAGGCATTTTAACTGGGATAAAGTCACCGGGGCTGGTCATCTCCCAATGTTTTATAAGACTTAAGGCCAAAAAAAAAAAAAAAAAAAAAAAAAAAGCGAAGGCACGATGAGGTCCCTCATTTATAATAAAAAATTTCCCTGACAAAAATATTCGCGTCCAGGAAATCCATTTCTTTCTCATTCATGATCCATTTTTGTGATTCTATAAGACATAATTATTTCCACGTTTTCCTCTACCCTTTTCTCTTTTTTCATTTTTTTAGAAAAAAGGAACCATATCTGCATGTAATGCCATGCTCTTTGGTATTTCTCCGTTTAACAAAAGTAACCTTCAATTTTCCATAAAAATACAACAGTGTAGAAATTAATTGGCGGTGAAAATTAAACCCGCAAAGATAGGGACGCCACTGCGCATTACAAGAACTGTTGACTTTTTTGGAATGATCGGAGAAAAAAGTACGCACTTACAGTGTGTATCCATACAGTATATATACGAATGCGGTGCAAATCCCAATACCTGGTACTGAAATGAAATAATTATTCCTCTATAATTTCCATTTATGGCTTAATTAAAAAATTTCCGTTACATCGAGTTCTTAACTTCTCTAGTGGGCATCAATTAAATGAATAGACAAATGCAAGTTTAAACGAACGTATTCGGCACAGCTTATCACGTGTAATATATAATCTTCTTTCGGCTTTCCCTTTAAGGGATATGGCTTCTCGATGCTAACCTAATAGCTTATTAGACAATTTATAGTTCCCAACAATTTAAGTCGACAGAGTATAAACACCGCATATTCGGTACATACTGTATGCATCTTCTAATTTTATTTTTAGTTTTCAAAAGAATTCGGTGCAAAAGATGAAAGGAATCGCTTGCTTTTACATGGCCTAAAAGGAATTAGCGAATGCCAATATTACTAGTGGCGCGATTATTATTACTCGGACAATAAATTAATTGAAAATTTAATATTGTGACTGCGGGCACAATTGAAAGCGATGGCTTGGCTGCGTCAGATTCCGTAACATGAAACTCCGTAAATACAATTTTTCAGAACGGCGTAATTATTTGTGCATAATGAATGGACGCGAGACTGGAATGACCAAGATGGGCAAAATGCAATTTTTGAATCCCATGTGCTCATCACAGCATATTGTTCCCTGTCTAACCCCATTCCTTTAGCTTCGAATATTACGTATCGCCTTAGATTGTGTCCCAAAATTAAGTTTAAAAATTTCATTTAGAATTGTGTACACTGTAGGATTCGTTAAGGTCTGAATGTATTAAATAAAATATGTATCTTAAATTTTATCATGCATAATGTGCAATGTTATTATTACCTATAACAAATGGTACCCCACCCCTGATTGCACAGAAAATTTGTTTATCTTTAAAGACACAGAGATATTGTGCAGGTTTCCGAAATTAGAATATAATATCTTCATTTATGTTTGTATGTCATATTATTCTAATCACATGGTGGTCCCTTTGGCTGGTGTTTCATTACTTTTTAACGAATAATGGCCAACGTTCCATATAACAATTGGAGATCCTCTTCCGTCTCGAATTACAGCAAGAAACCTACCCGAAAGCTGTTACTCAAAATTAAGCGTGTTTAAATGACTCGTATGTGAACTATAGTTATTGTAAAGATTCTCAAGATACACCAAAGAATCATGTAAGACGCCGGTTGTTTATGGCACGAACCTTTTTTGATTATCTCATTCCACAAAATAGAAGACAATTCCAGAATTTGTGAACAAATGATGCTTGGAAAAAAATGAACCGAAATGAAAGAAAGAGAACAGGTAGTTTCGCATATACTGTATATTTACGCAATTATCTATGGTCACGTGTCCACAACGATTCCTGACTTTATGATGTAAAGTCGATCCTCAAACGACATTTTTGGCACGATCTTCTCATTATTTCTATTTTTAAAATTAGTATTGTTTACCTTTCCGTTATGTGAAGTGTACATCATCAGCCATTGAATCCACATTAAGTAATATACTAATTGCCTTTAACTTGACAAAACTACAGGGTCGAAGAAAAAATTCATCACAATTGAAAGAATAATAATAGTTTGCCGATTTGTATAATAATGGGTGTGACGGTTAATCTCGGAATCAATCAAAATGATACCGCTTTCTTATGCTAATTTCATTTGACCGACCGCCAGTACGATCAAGTCAAACAATAATTATTAATTTTTTTTTTTTTTTTTGTAACTTCAAACATAAACTTTAAATTCAATGGCAAAACAAATGCACTTGATTAATCAGGTGTAAACATAAATGCTGAATAACTTTCCAAACGTATCCTCCCATTAACCATAGAAAAAGGGATATACTGTAGTGTACTTGATAAGATCAATCAATTTCTTAAAGTTTTTTTTTTTTTTTTTTTACAAGTTTAAGATCAAATCTGGAAGTTCATTTAGAAAGAAAAGTCACAATGAGTGTATTTTTATAGGAATTCATTCAAAAAAGATTTTTCTTTATTGCATAAATAAAATATATTAATTAATTAATATAGTAATTTATACAATTGATTGTAATTTATCAATCTAATAAAATATACATAGCAGTAGTTAAAATGATTTATTTGGTTGTTTTGTTTTGAATAAAAACTTGGTTATATAAATTATAATAAAGATAAAAAATTTTTTTTAAATCTAGCTATTAATATTTATTAAATAAAAGAAGATCAATTCTCTTACAACAATATCACAACAATTGAAATTTTTTGGGGGGGTGAAAGGTGCTAATAGTACATGTTTATTGAGTATTTTATATCAATTACATAACTACAACAGTCCATCTAAGTTAATCCGCCCCCTTTACCTTAACCTTACCCAGATATACTAATTTACACCCAGAAGGTGGGTCCGTATTCCAAGTTGGATCTTTAGGAGGTAAAAATCCTAGCACCAGTTTTAAACTGTCTAACCTAATCTAGACCCTAGCATTTACCTCTTACTAGGATCCACGCTAACCTTCTATACCTTACCACTTTTTAATCGTGCCTTTGATCCATGCAGCTGCAAATGGATCTTAGTGCATTTGTGCACTGTCTAGTCAATACTTTGAGAATTTCGTCCAATGATTGGCACATGCTACCAAACCTAGGGGTTATTCACCAATAGGGACGTGACTCCTGAATCTCCTAGTAGACTTATTCATCAAGTTTTCAATTGATATTAGCTGCCAAATCTAGGAATTACTCACCAAGCAGAGTGCAACTTTTATACAGGGATAGCACTGATGGTTCGCTGACATCGCACGTTAATGTCTATTGACGATTCCTGAAGGGCTTAGTACTTCGTGTTAACGATCTTGACAATCATCATGCATCTATCAGACAACCATCACGCCACTTCACCTTTTGGAGATCACAATTCCAACACCCACTGGATCAGTGTGTGAAATGGCTTTTTATGGAAAACAGTACATTACAGGTTATGATGCCAGATATCATATTAATTCTATTCAGTTGCCTTCACCGGAAGTTGAACTGATATCTTGTAATCTGACCTGTAGAGTACTAACCACTGTGCTATAGACCCATAGGTCTACAATTGAAAATTTTATTCAGTGATTTGATTATTTTATATTAAAAAAGTTATTATACAGTATTAATAAAAAAGTAATATAGAAATAAAATACCAATAAACTTTTTTTCATCAATAATATCATTAAATATACTATATAATTATATTATAATTAGAAAGAACATGTTTATATCTTACTATCAATATATTTTTTATCAATCAATTATATTTAACAAATATTGTTACTCAAAAATTCAAAGACAAATTATAATAAATAAGATTTTCTAAAAAACTATAATGTAAAAAATAAATAAAGAGTTTTAAGATTTAGATTTTTATTTACTTAACTTGACCTGTGGATCAATAATATAGTAGTAATGCTCCCAGGTTATCAAGTATTATTTCTAAGTTCAATATTATTGCGAGACAATATTACCTAAGTCCAAGTGATACAATAAGATTCTATCTATCCTATAATAATAATCTAACCACCTTTAACCAAAACCTTATCTAGTTATAGAATATTCAAAGATCATAAAATGCTTTAGCTAATTTTAGTGTTAAAGTTATCTTTTATAAAATAGGTTCTATTAAGCTCTTACAGATATATTAAAGATCTATATGCTATAAATCAAAAACTTAATAAAGCTCAAACATCATTAATTAGAAGAGAGTTTCTATCAAAATCAGACATCTATCCAAGATTCCATGTAATTATTCCATAGGTAAGTTATAATAAGTCATGTAAAAAAGATGATCTGACAAAACAAGATGATCCATGTAAATATTTTATAAGCATACTATAATATATACTATAAAAAGAATATCTGATAGGATAAATATAAAAGAAATTCTATATTGCAAATCCATACTTGTAAAAATAAGAGTTATAAAAGAATAACACAAATATATGCAATGGAATAGTAGACTTTTTTTAGCAATAAGTTATAGAAATATACTAGGTATTACAATCAAGTTTATCTTGAAACTGATAAATATGATTTATACTACTATAACTTTAGCATAAAAAATAATTGTAGAATTGTTTTATAGTTGTAAACTAAAACTATATGTATAATTTCCACTGCTTTTAATAAACCAGACCTTTATTATTTCCAGAATAAAAAAAATTTTTTTTTATTTAATTTTTATTATATAAAATTTTTATCTAATATATTTATTTTAAAAAAAAAGTTTTTAATAAAATAATCTTTTTAATTAAACAATAAATAATAATAATAATAATAATAATAATAATAATAATAATAATCAATATTACTAATAATAATAATATATATATTTTAATACTATATTATTATTATTATTTTTTTTTTGGACCAAACTCTTTCCCGATCACTTGAGGCGCAACAACCTCGACAATAGGGAAATGGCTTCCAACACTAGAAACCCTAAGGTTTCGCAGCTCGAACAACAAAGAGTAGAAAGACAA